TTTGATCCCCACTGCAAGTGTAAACGGGGACTGCTGTGGTGAACGAGGAGGTCACGTTTGGCGGGGGGAAGCCCACGGCTGGGGCGGCAGGGGGCGCAAGTGGGGGAGGGCACTGGTGGGGGGAAGAGCCCAGGGCTGGGGTGGGGGGCAGCCAAAAAATTTTTTGCTTGGGGCAGCAAAAAACCTAGAGCCAAGAGTGCCAGTGCTTGCAGCATCAAAGCCTTTGATAATGCTTGTAAAAAGAGCAGGTGAGATGCATGTTTAAGTGATTTTTAAGTTGACAGGGCCCAGTGATGGAAGTGGAGCAAGACTGAGACCCTGCTACCCCAAGCCAGAATCACACTCCCCCGTACAGCAAGGTATTAAGAAAGTGCCTAACTCCAAGCATGTCAGCACTAGGGAAGTCAATAGGGTTATTCCTGTGCTCAAAGTCAGGCAAGTGCATAAGTACTTGCTGAACTAGGGCCTAGAGCAGTGGTACTCAACCTGTGGGCCTCACGTGGCCCAATTAGCACACAGCTGCGGCCTAGCTGTGTGCTAAAGGCGTGGCAGTATCCTGGCTGCCCTGCCCCGCTCCACATGGCGGAGTCCAGGGTTGGGGCTGCCCTGTCCTGCCCTCCCTGCTGTCAGGGCTGCAATGCCTTGCCGTGCGGGCTCGAGGCTGCGCTTCCCTGCTTGGCAGGGTCCAGGCTCCCCTGCTGCCTGACCCCCACCCAGCGAGGTCCAGGATCAGGGCTTACATAGTGACTGTCCAGACGTGTACCCAGAAGCCTCCTGTTACAAGACAAGCCCAAGAAAGAAACCAACAGAACTCCACAGGCCATCACCTACAGTAGTCAGCTTAAACCTCTCCAATGCATCATCAGTGATCTACAACCCATCCTGGACAATGATCCCTCGCTTTCACAGACCTTGGGAGGCAGGCCAGTCCTCGCCCACAGACAACCTGCCAACCTTAAGCATATTCTCACCAGCAACCACGCACCGCACCATAACAACTCTAACTCAGGAACCAATCCATGCAACAAACCTCAATGCCAACTCTACCCACATATCTACACCAGCGACACCATCACAGGACCTAACCAGATCAGCTACAACATCACCAGTTCATTCACCTGCACGTCCACCAATGTTATATATGCCATCATGTGCCAGCAATGCCCC